CTTCTTCTTCTTCTTCTTCTTCTTCTTCTTCTTCTTCTTCTTCTTCTGCTTCCTCCATCAGTTGTTGTGTTTGCTGATAAATAGCAAGCGCCATTTCTAAAAAGTGAAAAGCTTCTTCCAAAGCATCCTTGCCTTCTTTCTTTGTTTTTCCATATTCCTTTCTTAGTTCATCAACAGATAAAGCCATTATAAACCTTTTATTCTTTTTTCTTTTTCCCTCTTCTTCTTCTTAAAACAACCAAGATATTTCAAAGCTTAAAACAGTTCCCCAAAGTCCCAGAGTCATCAAGCAGTCCAAACAGAACACAAAGTTCTTCCCTTTACACTTTCTCTTCCTGGGGTAATGTCAATTGGAAAAAAAAAACCCAGTCCGTATTTTAAAGCCTTATTGCAATTAGCTTCTAGTCTCAAAATCTTCCAGGCATCTCCTCCAACAAGATCTTAATATAATTTTTTTTTTGTCCTCTCCCTTCCCACTTGTAACAAAGTGCTTTAAATTTTTACCTTCTATAAAAAAAGCAGGTTTTTCAATGTCCATTTGTTAACTCCGTAGGGAAGGAGAGTAAACTTTCTCTTTCAGCACTTCCATTTGCTGTTTTAAAAATCTCCTCTGGAAACAAAGTATCATTCAAAAAATCAAAGTTTTCAGGATGTTAGATGTATCTTAAAATCCCGGTTCAGCCAAAGAACTTTCACTTCAAAACTTTCTCCTTCTTCCTCCTGCACTCTCTTGTCCAGCTGCCGGCTTCTTTGTGGCGGCCATTGCTGACCGCCGCTCCACCGCCTTGAGAAAAGGGGGTTTTGCCGGCTGGGGAGGGGGTCTGCGACACCCCCAAACCCCTATCCGGATCCCCCCATCTTCGGCTGCCTCTACGGGGCAGCCTTATCCTCCAGACCCGTCGGGATTGGAGGCACCAAGACGGCTCGCGCAACAGGGATTGCGCAGGATCGCGAATCCCTGCCGCTGCCGAAGCCTGGCAAACCGGAAGTCATGATGTTACTGTGACTTGTATCAGATATCTATGGTAGTGCTCTCACATTATAAATGGTGTGTAATAGCCTTACAAGCCTGGTTAACTATAGTTATGTCAATGAACAGAGTTTAAGCAAAACTTGGTTTAAAATGATATGCAAAACCAATTGCAGACTCACTTCCTGCCTTCTGATCCATTTATATTTCCATCTTTGATTTTTTTTATCCAAATCATATAATGAACAATTCAGAATGATGTAGATTAGAACAATTCAGCCAGAGTTCAGTTCTTTATTTGCTCACACACATATAGACAGATTCTTGCCAGACTAAAACCTGACAAGAGAAGAAAGGAGGTAGGGAGGAAGAAAGGAAGGAAGGAAGGAATTTTATGGATATACACAATGCCTGTTGTTGACTTTCTGTTGATATTTTAATGTTATATACATTTTTGCTATTTTGTTTGCTTTTGTCTTGTTAATCCTCCCATAACAATAGACTTGGCTGTACATATTTGTGAAATAAATAATAAACTGATTTGCCGGTTTGCCGAACTCGCCATAATGTTAACTACGGGTTCACCTAAACCGGGGAGAACCCATAGCATCCCAACCCTGGTTGGGGACCCTCCTATATTAGGTAATTTTGAGCTAGGCTTTCTTACTTACTTAGACTAAAAAATCAAAAATATCTGTCCACTACAGATAGTCCTTGTTTAGCAACCACAATTGGAACAAGCACCTTGGTTACTAAGTGAAGGAGAACTAAATGAAATTGCAATTGCACGTACACTCTTATTTTAGCTTTCCTTTGCTTTACAGTCTTGTGATGATCATGTCAGGATTGGTCTCAAAGTTCCTTTTTCATCGCCATCGTAAATGTGAATAGTCATTGTATGAGACAGTTGTTAAATGAGAACTGTGATCTGCATTATTTCTGATCTACTCAATAAGCAAACCTCTTTGTTATTTAAAACATTAAAGTTGTGTTTAAAAAAAGAAATCCCCCCCCCATAAATGAGGAAGTCAGCTCTATTTTCCTACAGTCGAAATGATGACATGATTCAAAGAAATTTAAAAGTTGGTGTTGCCACATATTGAAAGTCATTTTCTTCCTTTTTTTAACACTCCCAAAAAAGATTTTTCCTCTTGCATACATAGCTGCCCATCTCTTCAAACTACCCCAAACAAAAACATAAAACAACAACAATCAAACAGATAACAAAGAATCAGAGTTGGAAGGGACCTTGTAGGTCATCTAGTCCAACCCCCCGCCCAAGCGGGAGACCCTACACCACTTCTGACAAATGGCAGTCCAATCTCTTCTTGAAGGTCTCAAGTGATGGCGCTCCCACAACTTCCGAGGGCAATTTCTGTTCCATTGGTTGATTGTTCTCACTGTCAGAAAGTTTCTCCTTATTTCCAGGTTAAATCTCTCCTTGTTCAGTTTCCATCCATTATTCCTTGTCTGGCCTACAGGTGCAAGTCATTTTTTTGGTAGTTCTGGTGATAGTATTTTTTCTTCCAGAGAATATCTTGATCTTCTTTTTTACCCCTTGACAAAACTTTATGAGGAGATCCAAAATGAATTAGAAGTCAGCTAGGAACAGACACAACTGATTGACTACCAAAGCTGTTGTTTTTGGTTGCTGGTGCTCAGGAAGGACCTGCTGTCTTATACAACTATGAACCACATAGAAGGTGTGATTCCTAAATCAGTCTGATTGTTACAAACTTTGCAACATGGCTGGTTGCAAAGGCACCTATGCCCAAACAAATGGATGTTAAAGCTTATTCTGCCCCTTACAGTGTCCTTCCCTTCTTGCTATAGGGAAAAGGCTAAAGAAAATCTTTATTTTGTTTAATCCTGCAGTGCTGACCCCATGCCATGGATTCAGTGTGGACACTGAACAACCGATTATCTTCCGGGAAACGGTGAAAAGTTTTGGCTATAGTGTGGTGCAATTTGGAAGCGGCACAAATGCCGGGTAGGTGACCCCAGTCTGTCTATAACAGGAATGTCAGACTCAATTTCATTGAGGGCCATATCAGGGCTGTGGTTGACCTCAGTCCTGGGTGGGTATAGCCAGCTGGGTGGGTGTGGACAGCTTGATGCCACTCACTGGGTGTGACTGACTGGATGGGTGTGGCTTACTGGGTGGGCGTGGCCAGCTTAACGCCACTCCTCAAGCTGCTGGCATGTTTCCTCTTCACATTGGGTAGACTGGGCTGAAGTGACACAGGCCAGCCCTGTACATTTTCCAGAATGGTCCTGAGGGCCGTATCCAACAATATTGTAGGGTGGATCTGGCCTGAGGGCCTTGTGTTTGACGCCCATGGTCTAGAACAATGTTTCTCAACATGGCAAGTTAAAGATGGGTGTCCCAAAGGTGGGTTTTCAAAAGGCAACTGGACTTTCTTGTTTTTATTCAAAGACATTTCACTTCTCATCCAAGAAGCTTCTTCAGCTCGGACTGGATGGTGGGGAATGAACGTATTTACACTCCTTGGAGACAGCTGGTCATTTGCTTTCTTTTAGCAAGTCATCTAGGCCACTTGGAAGTTTATCTGTGTCCTCAGGGTCACCTGAGTGGTCTCTCCCTTCTTCCTTCCTTCCTTCCTTCCTTCCTTCCTTCCTTCCTTCCTTCCTTCCTTCCTTCCTTCCTCTTTCCTGCCTGCCTTTTTCCCTCCTTCTCTCCCTCCTTCTCCTTCCTTCCTTCCTTCCTTCCTTCCTTCCTTCCTTCCTCCCTCCCTCCCTTCCTTCCTTCCTTCGCCCCTCCCTCCCTCCCTCCCTCCCTGGTTGTTTAGTCCGAGTGGCTGAATCCTGTTTGGGTCCTTGAGCAGGTAGATTTCTGATTTGCCTATTCTACTTAGTCTGTGTTTCGCCTCCTCTTGACAGGGTGTTAGTAGGTGCTCCACTTCAGCAGGGAGTTGTGAATGAAACAGGGAAAATATACAAATGCCAGGTGACTGCAAGCAAGTCAGGCAGATGCCAGGAGTTGGTTCTTCAAAGTAAGCACTGAACTCTTTGATCCCTTGATGTTTAAGGCAGGAACTTCAGCATTTAATATTGACTTATTTATTACTTTTGTTCCTCATAAATAATAAATGAGGAACATAAGTACTAAAATACTGTATTTTTATTCATATTTTAAACACTTATATTTCATATGTATATTGAATTTCAAAAGAAAAAGTTTATTGTGTTTAAGTTATCCAGGGCCACATTATGTAAATTGTATTGCATTTCCTCTCTTTGGGGAGGTACATTAACACGATAAATCAAGCTGTCTGTTGAGGTAATTCCCCATTAGCAGAATGAGCGCATACAGGGAGACGTAGTGAGAGTGGTGAAGAATAACACACAAACAGCACACAGATACACTGTATAGTAAAATGTAGGTTTTTACTTCCAATAAACGTTTAAGCAAAGTCCAAACAAGCAGTCCAAATCATTCACAGTTAAATCAGTCAGTTTTCAGTCCAGGGATAATCCAATAACAAAGTCCAGTATCAAAAACAATTCAGTAACAGACTTACATCAAATCCCAGACGAACTATGATCAGTAACATTCAATAGGAAGGCAACACTCTCCAGAACAACAGAACAAGAACTAAACAACCCAGGTTTCTGGCTCCATCTTATGGCCATTTGAGGAACCACACCCAATTACAGTTTTAGCATTCTCTTAAAGAGACAGTATTAAAATGTCTATCCTGGTTTATATATTTTCCAACCCAATTATTAAGTGACTTACATTCCTAACACTCTTCTTCCTTCCTTCCTTCCTTCCTTCCTTCCTTCCTTCCTTCCTTCCTTCCTTCCTTCCTTCCTTCCTTCTTCCCTCCTTCCTTCTTTCCTGCCTGCCTTCGCTCCCTCCCTCGCTCCCTCCCCCTCCCTCCTTCATCCTACCTTCCCTCCCTCCCTCTCTCCATCCATCCACTCATGCATCACTGGATGGATTATAAATTTAAACCCACATAATTATCTCTTGAAATCTTATGATTTGCACAGAACACAGTTTGAAGACACTGGTCTAGACTTCTCTTATATGTCCCTTAAGCCATGAATAAAACTTATTCTAGGTGAAACCCTTTGATGATTACCAGCTGAGTACCATGCCTGTATCCTCCTAAGGCATAACTTCCTGTAATTCCGGCTTATTTTGAAGTAATCATCAACCATATTCTTAAAATCTAGGATGGGCTTAAAAAAACATAAATAAGAATCACTATTATTGTGAGCTACTCAAGTCATATGGAGATGGGCAGCATCAAACTGAATGAATTAATGAATAAAATACAGTTAGAATGGAAAATTTATAGCAAATGCTATTCAGTGTGTATGTGTGTGTGCGTGTGTGTTTTCCTTTAGTAATTTTTTTTTTTTGCCTTCTCAGGACCTCCTGATGCAGTCAACATGTCTCTTGGTTTATCTGTTTCGGCCCATGATTCTCAAGTGTTGGTAAGGTATTGTCTTTGTCATTAGGTTGGTAGCAATGAGATGGGTCTTTGCATAGCAGGTGGAAGCACTTCTCACCTTTTTTTTTTTGAACAAATTTTATTAATTTTTAAAGACATACAAAACATAAAACATAAGAACATAAAACCTCTTTTCTGAAAGTTATTTGTAAATTTTAAACAAATAAAACATTTTATACATTAAGACATCTCCTTATAAACACATAGATATCCTTTCAAATTCCTCATTATTTCTCCCTTTACTTTTATTCAATTATATTTCTTTTCTATATTTATCTGTTTTATATGTTTTTATTCACTATACTTATTTTCCCTTTCTGGCTTGCTTTATTCTCTTCTATCTTTTATTCTCCATTGTCCTTTTCTAACATTTCTCCAAGGTTTTATTAGCTCAATCAATCATAAACACACAAAAACACAAAACATAGAAACATAAAAAACCTCTTTTCTGAAAGTTGCTTAGTCCCGGGTTAAAACTCTTCGTACAGACACAAATTCAAATTCATATTCATTTTATATACCATTCCATATCTTATTAGCATTTTCAATTTTCTATATAGCTTCTCCTCTCTTTTAAATTTTCTTAATTTTATTTTATTTATCTCATCCCAATTCGAATCATAATATTTATTATTCTTTGTCTGTTCTATTTCCAGCTATCCATTTATCTTTCTTCTTTGAAGAAAACTTCTCCTGTACACTAATTGGAGTATGACGCCTTTATCTCTTTCCTCTACATTTATATAATACTTAATATAGAATACATAGCTTAGATTGGGATTCTGTTTGGTACATTCTAAAATTATACAATATTATCAATACCAATACAAATCTATTCATTAATATTAATATTCATTTATATCTTAAACACTTAGCACATTACTTTTCAATTAAATCACATACTTTTATGGGAGCACCTACTTTCCATAGTTATTCCCCCCCCCCACATCACATATTTTAAATCATTATTTCATTAGAATGTTCCTCCTTCTCCTACTCCAAATCTCTCATTTCACAAAAAAATTCACTAGGATAACATAGTCTAATCATTGATATTAACAATCATTTATATCTTAAACATTTTACCCATTTCAGTTAAATATCATGCCTTTATGGGAACACTTATGCTTTCCATAATTATTCCCCCCCCCCACATCACATATCTTAAATCATTGTTTCATTAAAGTGTTCCCCTTTTCTTGACAAAAATTTCACTAAAATACTAAATATTTTATCACATTTTAAATTGCATATTGTTTCCAATTTTCTATAATTATTTCTAAGTACAAATGTAAAAATACAATCTTGTGTACCTTCCCAGAATCCCTTTTTCAATAAATTTTACCCATTATCTCTAAAAGACTTTTGTTTCTTTGCATCTTGCTCCCCACCATTGAGGCTTCTCGTCCCTTCCTTTGTCCCTTGCTTATTCTTCTTCTTGTCCTCTTTACCCCCTTGTCTCTCCACCTCCCTTTTATTCTGTTTTCCTCCTTTCTGTTGTTTTCTAGCATAGTATCCCCTTTTCACCTTATTCTTCTCTTTTTTGGTTATTTTTCCAAGTCTTAAAGTCTTTTCCTTTTTCTCTTTCTCCTTTCCTTCCCCAACCAAAGTCACTTGTTCATCAAAAATGGCTTCTTCTTTGTCCCAGTCATCCTGTTGCGCATTCAGCTTTACATAAGTACAAACCGCCATTTCTAAAAATTGAAAAAGAGTGCCAAGAGAATCCTTCCCTTCTTGCTTTTCTTTTTCATATTTTTGGTATACAAGTTTCAATCCATCCACAAGTGATGCCATTGTAGAGAGAAAAAGTTTTTCCAAACAACCACCCAAGTGCTTTTAATCAGAGATAATTCTCAGAAGTTCCAAAATCACCAAACAATCCAAACAAGCTGTTTCTTTTAAATACTTTCTCCTTCTTCACTTTCTCTTTCTGGGGTTAAAGTTTAGTCACAAAGTTCCATTTAAAATATATCTTTTAGAAGTCTTATTAATGTTTAATAACTCTTTAGAGTTCTAGGCAATCTTCTCCTTATTTTCAAGTTCTGCTCCAATTTTTTTCCCCTCTCCCTTCCCACTCACAGCAAAAAAGATTCTTTTTTTTTAAAAAAAATGTTCAGAAATCCTTATCCCTTCAGCATTTAATTACCTCCAATGCAGGTTTTCCGATTTCTCTTATGGTTCCATCTGCTGTCACGTTAGGAAGGAGAGTGAACAGAAAAAAAAACTTTCCCTTTTAGAGTTCCATTCGCCGCTTGTAACTCTCTCTGGAAACAATGTATTTTTAGCAACTTTCAAAATTCCAGGATACTTTCTCTTTCTTTGTCCCGGTCAAAAACCACTTTCACAGCTCTTCCAACTTTCTTCCTCCTGCACAATCTTGTCCAGCTGCAGGTTTCTTTGTAGCGGCCATTACTGACCACCGCTCCTCCGCCTTGGGAAAAGGGGGTTTTGCCAGCTGGGGAGGGGGTCTGCGACACCCCCAAACCACTATCCGGATCCCCCCTGTCTTCAGCTGCCTCTACGGGGCAGCTATATCCCCCAGATCCAAGCGGATCGGGGGAACCTTGGCAGCGAGCGCAGCAGTGTCGCGAATCCCTGCCGCCGCCGAAGCCTTGCAAACCGGAAGCCCACTTCTCACCTTAAGGTAAAGGTAAAGGTTTACCTCACACATACGTGCTAGTCATTTCTGGCTCTAGGGGGCGGTGCTCATCTCCGTTATAAAAATGGAGAGCCAGCGCTGTCCGAAGACATCTCTGTGGTCATGTGGCCAGCATGACTAAATGTTGAAGACACATGCATGGAACACTGTTACCTTCCCACCGAAGTGGTCCCTATTTTTCTACTTGCATTTTTACATGCTTTCAAACTGCTAGGTTGGCAGAACGGACAAGTAACGGGAGCTCATTCTATTAAGCAGTGCTGGGGATTCAAACTGCCGAACTACCGACCTCTCTGATTGACAAACTCAGCATCCTAGCCACTGAGCCACCACGTCCCTTAGGAGACTGCTGACTGCTGACCTTAGGAGGTCTCAAAAAGCTAACTGCAAGACACTGGATCTCTGGGAAGTAATAAAGGATGAAGATAAAGGGAAGAAGCACATTCAGACTGCAAAGTTCTGTTATTATAACCTTGTAATAAAAATAGCATTTGCCTTTGGTTTCTACCTTGGAGAGCTGACATCAGTCTTGCAAATCTGAATGTGCTCCCTTCATAAGAACTAGGGGTGAGGGTCTTGTTTGAGATTCAGGGAAATAAAAATTATTCCTGTAAAGGAACCATATTTATCCCCTGTATAACCTAAAACCCTAATGGGAGATTAAATAAGGAATTGCATGTGAATGTTAGCTGTAAGGAAATAACAAGGCTTTTCCAGGTTACAGTTCTAGCCCAGATTCAGATTTTTCTTATCAGCCTGTTGTCTTGCTTGCAATTTTTCCTTTTGTTCTTCAAGATCATTCCTCCTTTCCATTACATCGACACAGCAGTGTTATACAAGTAGTCCCCGAATTACAACTATTTGTTTAATGACAGTTTGAAGTTACAACAACAATGAAAAAGGTGACTTATGACTGTTTTTCACACTTATGACCGTTGCAGCATCCCCAGGGTCACATGATCTAAATTCAGATGCTTAGCAACTGGCTCATATTTATGACGGTTGCAGTGTCCCGGGGTCACTGAACACCTTTTGTGACTTTCTGACAAGCAAGTCAATTGAGGAATCCAGATTCACTTTGCAACCGTCTTACTCACTTAACAACTGCAATAATTCACTTAACAACTGTGGGAAGAAAGATGGTAAAATGAACCCAAATCCACTTAACAACTGTCTCGCTTAGCAGCATAAATTTTGGGCTCAGTTGTGGTTATAAATTGAGAACTACCTGTATATGAAGTCAAGGATTAGGAGGCTTAAGGCTCCATAAAAGTTTTATTTCATTTACTTATATATCAAATTTAGAAACCGCCCATATTCCTCACGGATTGACTCAGGGTGGTATACAATTTAAATACTGTAGAAAAACATAAAATATATAGTAATAGCACTTACTTATATACCGCTTCACAGTGCTTCACAGCCTTCTCTAAGCAGTTTACAAAGTCAGTATATTGCCCCCAATAATTTGAGTCCTCCTCTTACTGTCCTCAGAGGGTGGAAGGCTGATATTAGGAGGCAATTAAATCAGGAGTAAAATAATTAAAATTCAAAGTTAAAACAAGATAAAACAATTTAAGTGAAGTTGACCTTGCTAGATTTTCTGTGTCTGGTCACTGTAGATGGCTCTCCTTTACCCCACAGGTGTGTGGGCCCAGGGTACACCAAACGTGTGGGGAATACATATATCTCAAAGGTTATTGCTTCCTCTTGGACCAGAATTTGAGGCAGATCCAGCGCTTTCCTGATCAATTGCCAGGTGAGATCCAGATGCAAACCACCACCACCCACCTACAAATGTTAGAGATCATGTACGGGAAAATATAATTTCATTCATATCATTCATAATTTTCCCATAGTCTTATGACTTGTTGCTTAACAACTGTTTGAAGTTAAAATTGATCTCCTCCAAGCTAAGAACAACCTGTTTTTGAAGTTGCAATGGCCACATATATAATATTACATGATCACACGATCCCGTTTGAGGTATTTGGTGACTGGCACACCTTTAAAGTCATTTTTGGTGTCCCACAGTCATGTGGCTACAATTTGTGACTTTTTTTTTTTTGCTGGTTTCGAGTATTTACTTCTGGTTTCCAACAACAACAACAACAACAAAATCTCCACTGGGGGGAAATGGATTCACTTAACAACCGTTGTGTTTGCATAAGAACTGTCATTAAAATTGGTAGTAACCTTCAATCTGATCATGTGATAGCAATAATACTTACTTATACAGGGGTATAAGTAAGTATAATTCAAAAATTTCAGCAACAAGCTCTCTGCCCGGTTGCTGGGTGGGCGTGGCCATGGTAGGAGTGGCCTAGTCAGCCTCCTGCACCACGGCCGAGGGGGGTGGTGGTATGTTTTTGCTCCAGAGGCTTTCCTCGAGCCTCTGGGAGGGCAAAAACAGCCTCCCCCGGGCTCCGGAGGCCTCTGGAAGCTGGAAAGGGGCCCGTTTCTGGCCTTCTGGAACTTCCGGGAGGCCTGTTTTTCGCCCTATCCAAGCCTTTGCGTGGGCTCTGCACTTACCTCACACCCAAAGCGGGCTGCATGGAGACTTTTGAGAGGGGCAGGCTGGGTGGGAGGGGCAGGGCAGGGTGGGCAGGGCCAGCCAGGGATGGGATTTGGTGGTTCTCCGAACCAGCCATAACATTAGCTACGGGTTCTCTTGAATCTGAGTGAACCCATAGCAGCCCATCCCTGGACTTATATACCGCTTCACAGTGTTTTAAAGCTTTCTCTAAGCAGTTTACAGAGTCATCCTACTGCCTCCAACAATCTGGGTCCTCATTTTACTGATCTCGGAAGGCTGAGTCAACCTTGAGCCAGTGAGATTTGAAATGCCAAACTGCTGGCAGCCGGCAATCAGTAGCCTGCAGTACTGTATTCTAACCACTGCACCACTACAGCTCTTGATGCCTCCACTTATGACTAAAACCCAGTGGTGGGATTCAAATGTTTTTATTACCAGTTCTATGGGCGTGGCTTGGTGGGCGTTCTCTGAACTATTCAAAATGTCCACTGTTGCTTCTCCAGAACTGGTCAGAACCTGCTGAATACCAACTCTGCTAAAAACCATATTTCAGGGTCAGTTACAATAATGTCAAGGACTACCTAAGCTCTCCAGGAGGCCCAGATGCATTGAGCTGAATGGAGCTTATTCTGAAATAAGCGTGAACAGGATTTTTGTAGAATTATACACACAAGGATGAAGGTCAGCTCATTCAGAAAAGAATGCGGGATAATTAAATGTCAGTCAACTTACAGTATTTCACATGCAGACACAGACATGCACAATCATGATTCATTTTTTGCATAATTTATTTATTATGTATGTTATTTTATTTTGTCATCTGCTTGACTATGTGCTATTCTTCCCCCCCCCCCCATTTTCTTCTCCATTGGCCTTGCTTCCGTAGAATGTTCCAGACGCCCTGCTGACATTGTTTTTCTGATTGATGGTTCAGGAAGCATAAAAACTCGTCAATTCTCACAAATGAAAACCTTTATTTCTGAGGTCATGAAGCGTTTCCAAAATACAAACACTCAGGTAATGTTAAGAGATCAGACTGGATGAAACCATAATATTCAGAGTGAAAATGTTGAGTCCCTAATTAATATCTGCAGTAGTATATAATCATTTAATTTTTTTTACTGGGCTATAATATGCTCTTTCTAATTAGAAGCCTTTGGTATTCAGTCTGTGGCAATTTCCATACTATGTTTGCTATTATCTTATAATGTATATGTATATTTATTTTGGATGTTTTTATTTTTTACTTTTAAAATGTTTTTAGAGTTTTAATCATAATACAGTTTAGTCCTCGACTTACAAGAGTTTATTTAGAGACTTCTGGTTTGAAGGGCTTCGGCGACAAACACAAATCCGCGATCGTGCGCAGTTTCTGTCTGGGTTCGCCGCTGGAGCGCCCCGAGTTGGTTGGTTTCGGGGCTAAGCCACCCCGTAGAGGTAGTGAAGAGGGGGGAGACTGCCAGCAAGGTTGAGGAGAGCCACATCTCTCCTCCTCAGCTGGCCATTACTCCCTTTCCCGAAGGCAGTTGCAGCAGTGGTCAGAAATGGCCACCACAAAGAAGAACTCGACCGGAAAAGAATGTGCAGGAGGAAGATAAGAAGTGAAAGTTTTGGCTGACCGGGTTAAATTGTAAAAGCAACAACCAAGGTACTCTGGAATTTAAACTATAAAAAAATAACATCGCTCCCAAAGAAGAGTCGGAAGCAGCAAAGGAAAATGAAAAGGGAAAGGTTTGGCTTTTTTTTTCTTCTCTCTCCTTCCCTATACTGACAACTAAGAGACTTAAATAAGAAATCGGAAAAATCCGCTTTGACATCAATAGGCAATTAAGCTGAAAATAAAACAAAATGCCAAAGGGATAATAAAGATATCTGGACATTAAAAACTTTCTTTTTCATAAGCAGGAAGGGAGAGAAAAAGAATAAGGGCAGGATCTGGAAGAGGGAGGAGACTGCCTGGAATTAAAAAGAATCTAAAGTAAAACTTCAACAAGATTTCTAAAAGATACATTTTAACTGAAACTTTGCAACTAAATAGTAACCCCAGGAAGAGAAAGTGAAAAAAAAAGAGCAAAAAAGAAACAGCTTGCGTGTATTTGGATTATTTGGTGATCTTTGGATATTTGGTTATTATATTTGAATGACTAAAATCAATCAGGTGGTTGATTAAAAATTTATACAATGGCACCACTTCTGGATGAATTAAAAATGGAACTTAAAAAGTACAAAGAAGATGCACAAGAAGGGAAGGGTTCTTTCGGCTTTGTCTTTCAATTTTTAGAAATGGAGATTTGGAACTATGAGAAACAACAAGAAAAGACTGCAAAACAAGAAGACTGGGACAAAGAAGAAGCCATCTTTAATGAACAAGTAATTCTATGTGGGGAAGAAAAAGGAAAGTGGGGGAAAGAGAATGGAGAATTTAAGACTTCAAAAAACAACCAAAGAAAAGAAAAATAATTCGAAAAATAAGTATAATACTGGAAAGCAACAGAAAAGGGGAATACAGAAGAGAGAAATAGAGATAGAGAGACAAGGGGGTAAAAAGGGGAGAGAGAAGAAGAGAGGGAAGAAGGAAAGGAAAAGAAGTTACAAAGGACCGGAGCAAGATATAGAGAAACAGGACCTATTTAGAGATAATGGGGGAAAATCTAACTGAAAAAGGGATTCTGTAAAGGTACACAAGATTGTATTGCTATATTAGTAATAGAAATAACTTTAGAAAATTGGAAACAACGTATGATTAAAATGAGGGATAAAATAGTTAGTGTAATTTAGTGAAATGTTTGTGAATAAAATAAGTGAAATAAAATAAATGAGAAAATTGAATTAGGAAGGAACGGGAACATTTTAATTAGTTAATGTTTTATAAAATATAAGTGAAGGGGGGAATTATGGAAAGCTTATAATTGTTCCCATAGAAGTATGATATTTAATTGAAAAGTAATGTTAAAGATGTTAAGACTTTAATGAATATTAATATTAATGATAGAATTGAATTGGAATGGAATGTTGTTTTAATTATATACATTTATAATTTTTTTCTTTTTTTAAGAATACAGTGTGTATTTTAAGAATGTACCAAGCAGAATCCGAATGGAAGTTATGTATTATATTGAATGTTACAACTTTAGGGAAAAGATATAAAGGCGTCATACTCCAATCAGTAACTACAGGAGAAATTTTGTTTAATGAGAAAAGATAATAGATAATTGAAACAGGACAGACAAAAATTATAAATACAATGATTTGAATTGAGATGAGATAATTAAAATAAAATTGAGAAAATTAAAAGAGGGGAGAAGCTATGCAGAAAATATAAAATAGTAGTAAGATATGGAATAGAATATAAAAATGAGCATGAACCTGAAATGTAACCCGGGATTATGCTGCTTTCAAAAAAGATGTTTTATTTGTATTTTTTCCTCTTTGTGAAAACTCAAATAAAATTTACAAAAAAAAAAAAAAAGAGTTTATTTAGTGACTGTTCAAACTTACAATGTTACTGAAAAAAATGACGTAGGCTATTTTTCACATGACCATTGCAGCATCCTCATGGTCATGTGATCAAAACTGATCTATATTTATGATGGAGGCAGTGTCCCGGGATCATGTGGTCATCTTTTACGACCCAACAAGTAAAGTCAACTGCAACGATTCACTTAATAAATGTGGCAAGAAAGGTCATAAAATGGGCAAAACTCACTTAACAAATGTCTCCCTTAGCTGCAGAAATTTGGGCTCAATTGTGGTCGTAAGCCAAGGATTATCTGTGTATAATTTTTTAATTGTAAACTGCCCAGAGTCATTGATTGAGATGGGTGGCTATAGAAACTGGATGGATGAATGGATGTGATTAGTTTATTTTTATTTATTTTATTTATTTGTTTGCCAAACATGTATTAGATAACAAATATAAGTATAAACATGATTATTAATACATAAAATGGATAAGAATAAAAGAAAGCATTAGGACAGGGATGGTAGGCATGTTGATGTGCTTATGCATGTCCCTTACAGACCTCTTATGAATGAGGTGAGGTCAACAGTAGACAGTCTAAGGTTAAAGTTTTTAGGGTTTAGGGAAGAAACCACAAAGTCAGGTAGGATATTCCAGGCATTGACCAGGCTATGTAATTACAATGGGCTCTGGCACTTAGATCTTTAGAGGTGAGTACTCCAAGGTCCTTGACAGAGTGGGGGGTCATCTACAAGGTCATGTCTATTCAGCTTGCAGTTTATTTTCTAATATATTTTTTGCCAATACGTAAGCAGAGCATTTGTTTGTTGAGATTTGAAGTTGCCACATGTTTGACCATTCTGACACATAGTTGAGATCTTTTTGAAGAGTAGCAGTATTGTCGGTAGTATTGAATAGTTTTACATCATCGGCGAAAAGAGCACAGTTGTTATTATTATGATCACAAAGGTCATTTATGTAAAGTATATCTCTTGAGCTGGTCCTAGAACGCTGCCTTGGGGGACACTGCTATTGACAGGTATGGAATTTGATAGGGCACTCCCTATTTTGACAATTTGTTGCCTGTTTGCCTGTTAGGTTAGATTTGCTGAACTTTCAAAGAACTGTGTTCTGGTCCTTTGAGGATAGTGAAGACTTAGTTGAGTTGGGGACACTGATGGCAGGAGGTGTGGTCATAAAGGTGGGCGGGGCTGAATTTTATCCACATGATCTGAGGGGCAGTGCTTCCTCTCAATTGTTTCTAGTGGCCCCATTAGGTATAGCAGGCTAGGCATGCCACGGGTCCCCTCAATTAAAGCATATTATCTTTTCTGTTGCTGTGCCTCCATTTTAGAACAACACAATCCCTGAGATTAGATTGGCCTCAACCCTGTCAGCTTTCCCAAAGGTTTTGAAGGTCTGGGTGTATTCCCAAGGTGGGCTGTTAAGATTAGTTGGTTCCTGTGGTTTAGCGAAGGGGGGGAAAAGTCACGATACATCCAGTGGTGGGATTCAATTTTTTTTACTACCGGTTCTGTGGGTGTGGCTTGGTTGGCGTGGCAGAGGAAGGATACTATAAAATCTCCAGTCAGAGGTGGTATTTGCCAGTTCTCCGAACTACTCAAAATTTCTGCTACCGGTTCTCCAGAACTGATCAGAACCTGCTGAATACCACCTCTGGATACATCATGTGATGACAACATGATAACATGTGTTTGATACCCCTGATATAGATTATCCTCTCTGGTTGATACTGATAAATATATTTCAATCATAATAATTTCCTCCCTTGCAAAATAAGCCCACAGTTTATTATCTTCCACAACTCTGTCTATCCAATCAATTTGACCTGACATCTAGATGTTTTTATGTGTCATTGAACACCCAGTACCAAAGCAAGGTGGACATCCATATAAATGATCAAATAAAAAATAATAGATTTTTAAAGGGGGATAATTCTTTCCTACTTTTCTCTTTCTCTGTCTCCCTTTCTCTAGTTTGGCTTGTCCCAGTACTCTGATGGATATGTAGAACACTTTGACTTTCTCCTTTTCAAAGCTACCCCAAATCCAGATGATTTGATTAGAAAAACCAGGCAGCTGAATGGAGCTACTTACACGGCTACATATATCCAGAAAGTGGTGTAAGTATTCATTAGTTGGTTCTTTTTAATTTAACACAACATGTTGGTATTTGCTTCAGCTGCTTAGCCCAGAATGCTCATTTTTACTTGTATTTAAAAGAGGATCCATGCACATTGTGGTTTTAAAAAACCAGTTTTTATTGCACCACCACAGCTGCTATCCTGATTTTTCAGGATTCAATCTGGGTCGGTCACTCAGCTCCTCTGGTCCCAGTGAAGTATTGGATCATGCAACGTTGTCCTGCGAGATGTATATTTGCTTTTATCTTGATTTTGTTTATCGAACCTCAACAGAATTGTTTTACCAAATTCTTCCAATTTCCTGGGTTTGGGGACTTCCATTCAAGTTATACTGCTATGGTCATCGAATAAATCACTGCAGTTATGAAATGAGATGTCATATGACTGTCCCTTGAGATTTTACCAATGGCTTCTTCATTGACTCTGCTTGTTGGAGGCTGGTTGTGAAGCACACACAAATTGCAATCATCTGACTGCAAGTTGCTGTAAACATGAGGACTAGCTGTAAGGTTACTTCTTCAGTATCATCATAATTTTGAACAGTCGCTAAACGAGGCAGTCAGTGAGCAAGGTTAACCCATACTTTTTTGTTTGCTTTTTACCAGAAAAGGATTTAATTTGCAAAAAAAGTTCACTCATAATGAGTGAATATAATGAATTGATCAGCTCTGATCATTTGCATAGAAAGTATGCTGGATCTTGCTCATAGAATACAATAGAACAACGAGTTGGAAGGGATCTTGGAGGTCTTCTAGTCCAACCCCCTGCCTAGGCAGGTAATCCTATACCATTTCAGACAAGTGGTTATCTAATCTCTTCTTTAAAATTTCCAGTGTTGGAGCATTTACAACTTCTGGAGGCAAATTGTTCCACTGATTAATTGTTCTAACTGTCGGGAAATTTCTCCTTAGTTCTAGGTTGCTTCTATAAGATTTTCACTTTTTTTTCTTTACAGGACATTTATCTGTAGATCATCCCGAAGATGCTTTTTTCAAGAGGCAACTGGACTTTCTGATTTTTCTTTGAAGATGTTTCGCTTCTCATCCAAAAAGCTTCTTCAGAGCTGAAAATGAAACGCTTTCAAAGAATAACCAGAAAAAGCCAGTTGCCTCTTGAAAAAGCACCTGTCGGACAACCATGACCTGGAGGACTGAGAATCTCCATAGACATCTGTAGATCATGTTTTATCAGAAATTGGCCGAGAAAGAAGGAAGGCAGAGGTTTAACATGTTACTACTCTTCTCATTTTTCTTTAGGCGTGAAATGTTTCTCCCCGAAAAAGGAGCCCGCAGTGATGCATCTAAAATTCTCATTGTGATAACTGATGGGGAAAAAACAGGAGATCCTCTAGAATATAATGAAGTGATTCCAGAAGCACAAAGGGCTAACATTATCCGCTTTGCTATTGGGGTGAGAACATTAGCAGACCATTATAGATAGTCCTTGCTTAATAACTGGTCACTTAGTGACCATTTGGAATTATGATGGATTCCCCAAAAGCAAATTATGACCCATTTCTGGAATTTGAACAGCTGCACACACACATCTTATGATCACATGACCGCATTCCAGGTTTAATCACCCTTACTGCCAGTTGCAGAGTTATAGGGTCAATGTGACCACAATTTATGGCATTTTTACCAGTTTCCAAACTTTTCAGCCAGTCTCTGGCAAGAAATGCCCATATGAATACTAATAACCATGGTGTCAATTAATAACCATGGCATTTACTTAAGGACCACTGCAAAACAAGTCATAAAATCAGATCTAAAATCATTTTCTGCATTGCATGAAAAAAGTACATCCTCCTCCTCTCTTTACCATTTTCTATAGAGATACGATCAAGAGCATCCTGTCATTTTGCATTACATTCTGGTTTGGAAGCATCACTGCTTCATACAGGGAGGTGGTGCAGAGAGTGGTGAGGACGGCAGAAAAGATTATTGGCAGTTCACTCCCTTCTATCCAGGATGTAGCATATAAGCGATGCTTGAGCAGGGTCCGCAGGATTGTCTGGGACAGCACACATTCTCTTCCCGAAGTGTTTTCCTTGCTACCTTCTGGGAGGGGGCTTCGTGGTATCCGAAGCAGAACATCCGTATTCAGCCACAGTTTTATTCCATGTAGCATCAACCTTGCTTTTGCTTTCTGCTATGTATTCAAGATGGACAGTGATACACACACACACACACACACACACACACACACACACACACACACCACATATATGGTATATACGGTAAACACATACGCATACATAACACACATATACACATGCTATATACATATGTGTGTGTGTGTGTGTGTGTGTGTGTGTGTGTGTGTGTGTGTGTGT